AGAGAGAGAGAGAGAGAGAGAGAGAGAGAGAGAGAGAGAGAGAGAGAGAGAGAGAGAGAGCTCTAAAACTTCTTCTCTGCACGGTGACCGTACAACACACACACGCCTTTATCCGATTAGGCAACATAGAATTCACTGACAGAGATGTTCGATATTTTTTATTTTTTACTTCTTGTCGTCTTTTCTTCTTTTGCTCTTTTTTGGAAAATAAAGACTAGCGAAGTTAAGAAGTTTGTCATTTTTTCGATCTTTTGCTCACCTGGAGTAGCATCGACGCTTTGGCACAGAGTACTCCCCCTTCCGAGGCCCGCAGCGCTTCTGAATTGCCGCTCATGGCCGGATTGCTACCAGAATGGCGCTGGCCATTCAGAGGTCGGGCGGCCACGCTCACGTCATCCATGCCGTCGCCCATGAGAGGCACCCACCCGTCGTCTGGAAATCCGTTCACAGCTTCATTAAACCCTCTGAGTGGAAACAAGGATGTAAAAACAGAGACAGGACAAGACCCCGTTGGCAAGCCCTACTCGTCAGATGGACACACGCACAGCTGAGAGAGGCAATTCACCGGAAAAAAGAGGCCTGGACAGGAAAAAAAGGGAAAAGCTTTGTATTCATTTCCCCCCTTTAAACGGGGCAAAAAGTGCGGCAGGCCTCAAAATGACTTTTCATGTCATTTTTGCACCCTGGATGGGACACGGTTAAAGGGTGAAAAAATGACATGAGAAGTCATTTTGGGGCCTGCTTCAATTTTTGCCCCGTTTGGGGGGAATTGAATACAATGGTTTCTTCGAGGGGCCTCTTATAACTTCTCCCAAACAAAAAAAAAGAAAAAAAAAAGGGGTACAAAGTCAGACCCGTGCTAAAAGAAGAAGAAAAAAAAGAAGGAAAACAAAAGGAAAAAAAAACGAAAAAAAACGGAAAAAAAAGTACAAAAAAGTACAAAAAAGAAGGAAAACAACGAAAAAAGAAGGAAGAAAAAGGGAAAAAAAAAAGAAGAGCAGAAGGCCCAATCCTCCTCACGAAAGAAGAAAACATATAGTCACTCGGGGACATACAGAGAAGATTAGCATGGCCCCTGGGCAAGGATGCCGTGCATAATTGAGGGCGAGCTTGCACGGGGCGTGACCCGCCCGGGCGACACCAAAAAGGGGTCAATTTTTTTTTTTGTTTTTTTGTTTTGGGCAGGTGGGCAATTTTGTGCCCACTGAGACGAGCCCAAATCCGGCCTTATGTTTGAGTTGGTCATATCTCACCAAAGGATGTCTATGGGGTATAAGGGGGGTTCGAAAGGGCTCAAAGGGGCCTAAAGGTGGCTAAAGGGGTATGCTATAATTTAGTATTTTATTTTCCATAGCGAATTTTGTGGTCACCCTCATGCAAACCATGTTTGGTCTGCAATTCTTCATGACATAATTTTTTTCCAGATTTTTTAGATTTTTTTAATTTTATTTTTTGCTCTAGGACTGCCCGGGGCCTTGACCGGGACTTCGCCTGGACCTGGCCCGGGGCCTTGACCGGGGCCAACCCGGGCCAAACTGAGGCATCCCAGGCTGCCCAGGTAGTAACACAATATATAAAACGCTTCAACCAGTTCTTTTTATTTTTTGGGGGGGAGGGAAATTTTCAATATATTAATATAATGCTGAAAGTTCTATTTATTTGTGGCGTGCCCCTCTGACTGCCGGCTTACCCTGTGGCGCCCCTCTGACAAGGATTGAAGTTTCCAAAAAAAACCTGGTGTTGTTTGGGCCTGAAATAGGTTCAATATGCCCGTACTGGTACGGGTTTCGAATTTCCACTATGCCCCTAGCTCCCTTCCCAGGGCCAGGGGGGCCAGGGGAACGGCACCCAACGGCCACAGGGACATGCTGGAAAGTTGTGCCCTTCACTGACAGGGGCTTGCAAGAAAGTTCAGAGACCCCAGGGGCATGACAGAGCAAGTTGGCCCGCAGAGGGGCACAGCACAAATAAATTGAACTTTCAGAGGCATATAAAACATTTCCCCTTTTTTCTAAAACTACGACATAGTGGTAGGTAGGTAGTAAAGGTGAATTGGAAAAACCAACCCGTTCTGATCAAAACCATGTGAAAGAAGGGAAAGAGTCCTTCCTTACATCCCACGGGAAAACGAAACGGTGAAGACGACATTTCACGTTTGCCAACGGCTGTGGCATGCTTTTCGATGCAGAGCACGACTGATTGAGAGAGAGAGAGAG